CTACATGGGAGTCCAGCGACATAGCCATTACAATAACGGCTGGTCTCCATAAATTTTCTTTATGAAGTTGAGAAAGTTCTTATCTGTTCTTAGTTGTGGAGTATTTTTTATCACAAAGGGGTGTTGAATTTTGTCAGGTGCTTTTGCTACATCTATTGAGATGATTGTGTGTGTGTGTGTATTTCCCTTTTATCGATGTGGCACATTATGATTTTGGCACTTTAAAAAGCATTGCATTCAACTTGGTCATGGTATATAATCCTTTTACTATATTGATGGATTGAATTTGTGAGTGAAATGATATAAATTTGTGGCTTTTATTTGCATTTCCTTAATGACTACTAATGCTGAGCATATTTCATGTGTTTATTGGCCATTAGTATATTTTCATTAGAAAAATGTCTGTTCAAGTCTTTCATCCACTTTTGAATGAGATCGGATTTTGTTTGTAGTTGTTGAACTATAAAGAGTCTTTTTCATTTTCTGGATATCAATCCCATATTAGATAATGATTGGCAAATATTTTTCCCCATTCCATGGGTTGCTTTTTACTCTGTTGCTTGTGCTCATTCATGCACTTAAGTTTTTACTTTATCTTTTTGTTTTTGTTGTTTTGTTTTTTAATTATATATATTTTCATTTAAGTTTAGTAGGTGTACATCTGCACACATACAAAATGGTTTTTCTGAGCATGAATAGAGTACATATTAGTCCAGTAGAAGATGATACCTTATACATTATCACTACCAGATAACTTTACATTTTTGTGTCTTTTAAGTGTTTTTTTTTTTTCAATTTTCCCTCTTTCCCTCCATCCTCTATTACCTGCCCCCTCCTTTAGTGTCTCTAGTTCCTACAATTGCTTTCCATGTTTTTATACCTTTCAATCTTTGTTTCTGCCATAGCGTACAAACATTTGTTATATGCTGAATGGGGACACAGAATGCCTCTCTTTCAGTCTGGCTTGCTTCACTTAGCATTAAGTCTTTCAACTTTGTTTTCCATTTTTGTATACTTTGTAACAAATGTCTGGACATCACTTACTTTTTTTAATGTCTGAATAGTATTCAATAGTACATATGTGCCACATTTTTCAATCCATTCATCTACTCTTGGACGTTTGAGTTGATTCCATGTCTTAGCAATTGTGAATAATGCTTCAATAAATATGGATGTGCAAGTGCTTTTCTGATGGGGAGTTTTCCTATTTTTTGGTCTGATATCCAGGACTGGAATTGCTGGATCACATGGCAATTTTATTTGTAGGTATTTGAGGAAGCTTTATATTGTTTTCCACAGTGGCTGTACTAATTTACATTTGAACAGTATAGGACGATTTCTTCTTCATTGCAGTCTTGCCAGCACTTTTTTTTTCTTTTTTTTTTTTTTTGCCATAGTGCATGTGCGCTTGCCAGAGATAGACAGAGAGAGAGAGGCAGTGAGAAGGAAAGTGAGAAATCAACCCAAGGGCAGATGGCCATGCCACAATCCCCTCTCCCTCATTTTCCTCCTGTGATTTCGGGCACACACCTACCCACCCACATACACACACACACACACACACACCCACACCTGGTGTGATCTTCAAGCTGCGAGGTCCGGGAATCAAATCAATGTTGGTCATGTGGATGTCCAGTGTCTTAACCACTATGCCACCTGCAGGTTCCAGCACTAATCATTATTTATTTTTATAATCTTAGACTTTCTGACCATATATATCACTGTAGTTTTGAATTGCATTTTGCTTATGATGAGAGATGTTCAGCATTTTTTCATGTGCTTTTTGCCTTTTTATATGTCTTCTTTAGAGAGTTGTCTGTTCAACTCATTTGCCCATTTTTAAATTTGGTTGTTATTTATTTATTTTAAATAATTACTTATTTCATTTTATTTGTTGTTATTATTTTATTTTTTAATTTGACCAGAGAGAGAAAGAGCAAGTAAAATTGAGAAATCAATCTTCCAGGTCTGTACTTGAACCAGAGTTAGACATGTGGGATTCCAGTGCCCCAACCACCATGCCACCTGCTGGTCCTAGATTGTTTATTTTTTTGTGGGTAAGCTGCTTGAGTTCCCTCTAGGTTCTGACTTTCAGTCCTTTATCTGAGGGATAGTTTGAAGATATGGTCTCCCATTCTGAGGGTTGTTTTTTGTTTGTTTTAATGTAATTCCCTGTAGGTTCTGACTTTCAGTTCTTTTATCTGAGGGATAGTTTGAAGATATGGTCTCCCATTCTGAGGGTTGTTTTTTGTTTGTTTTAATGTAAAAAAAAATATTCTTCAGTAAATATTCTTATCCCAGGTGCTTTTCTTCTGTTTTTTATTTTATTCTTTATTTTTTTAAAAATTTCCTTTTATTTCTATTTCTTTTATACATTCAATCACGTTACTCAAGTTACAAAGTGAATATTCCAACATGTGTACATTTTTCACCAGTCCAGTTCACCACACTAGAAAGTTATCTTCAATAGATA